AACTCCCGCTACACCCTCCGATCAACTTGAGCTAATCAATCGCTGGATTACATTTGGGTCAAATAATGAGGACCAGGAAACCCTTCAAATCCATCTGGGGCGTTACCTAAAAACTTTGATCCACGCTCATTCAAATATTTCACTGATTCCGCATGGAAGTTGGGTGCATGAACTATCCTGTAGGAGAACCTATCAGCCCCTTTGCTCCTGAATCTTATTTATCACATGATCTACTAGGTGCAAGTAACTTATCATTTAGGCAGAAAAGCACAAGAACGAGTTGGCTGCCATTATGGTCACTTACCCTTCGACGCATGGTGTATTTGAGTCATCAATTCGTGATGTATGCGATAAAGTGCACGAATACGGTGGTCAAGTCTATCTTGATGGAGCAAATCTGAACGCTCAGGTAAGTTACTTCCCGTTTTCAGGAGATTATAGGAGACAACCATCAAAAGACACCGTGTTTCTCAAGCATTCTATGATCGTGGGCATCTAAGAAAAGCAAGGGCGGACACGCTCGAGCCTGAACCTCCACTCTTACCTGAATGGTCGAACTCAATCACTTCATTTTGCACTCGAACCTATATCCGCTTCCCGTTCTTTTCCGTTGTCTTAGTAGCCCTACCTATTTCAGACTCCTTTTTAAAAATTTCCTCAAACTTCCACTCACATCCAACTCTACTAAACGCCTGATCGTTGACTTCGTACTATTTCATTACTTAGTGTCATGTTCTATGGTAAATAGTAATATTTTAGGAAAATCGAGAGGTAGACCTAATGTTTTAGGTTGGTCTGTGCCGTCCAGGTGATTACGGTAGCGATGTTTCGCATCTCAATTTACATAAGACCTTCTGCATTCCACATGGTGGTGGCGGGCCAGGAATCGGTCCAATTGGCGTGTGAGTGAATCGATTAAGGAGTTATTTCTTTATTTGTGAATCACACATTCATTCTGGGGCTATTTATTTATTTATTTATTCTGGGGCTATTTATTTATTTGTTTATTTATTTATTTATTTATTAATAAACCTATTTATTATGATCGAGATTTACGTGTCTTATTCATTTGCAGAAAGAAACATCTGGCACCTTTCCTTCCCGGACACCCAGTGATTCCCATTGATGGACGACAGGACGGTGCCGTTGCCGGTGCGCCATGGGGATCTGCAAGGTTTTTCTTTTTTGAATAGTTTCTGTTTCAAACAATTTATTTAGGGCTGTTTTCAGTCAGGTTGGAAGTATCATTCCAGATTCCACTTCTAACTATGAAGGGTGTGTCGTTAGGTCAGGAAGCTAAGATTACCGTTCCAAAAGTCGGGATAGCTGAAATGTTGGGAGTGAATCCTTTGTGACTTTTTTTGGAACAATCGCCACTACAGAAAATTCGCTCTCGGACCAAAGGGCACGCCCACTGGAAGTTGTCTCTACCTGGATAACTTATTATATTCTAGAGCTTGTTGATTTTTTTTTATTTTTTAAAATGATTCTTTCAGTATATTACCGATCACATGGGCGTACATCCGCATGATGGGTCATGCTGGCATGAAGAAAGCTTCACAAATGGCGATTCTAAATGCCAATTACATGGCTAGACGTCTTGAAGGAGCATATCGTATTGTATACAAAGGTAATCGGGGTTTCTGTTTATTTGTTTACATGAACCAAGAACCTGCCTTAATCATCCGCTCTCCAGATGAACAAGGCTTGGTAGCTCATGAGTTCATTCTTGACTTCAAGCCATTCAAGAAATCAGCTGGCGTCGAAGTTATAGATGTTGCCAAGAGGCTGATGGACTATGGGTAAGTGCTGCAGCTACTTTTTGGGAAATGGCTTTTCTGTTGGCTGAACATTGATCTTTTTTCAGGTTCCATTCACCAACGATGTCTTGGCCAGTGCATGACTGCTTGATGATTGAACCAACAGAGTCTGAAGACAAAGGTCAGTCCCCATAGAATAGGTATTCGTAGCTCAGTAAATGCTAAAAGTTTGGTTCAAATCGGTATCACCTTCTTAGCATTTGTCTTTTCCATGCCCTTAGACGGTGCAAACTCGGATGGGTACAGGGTATAGCATGGGAATACTGACAGTGGGCGCAGGACTGGGCTCCGCTCACAAGGGAGCAGGCATGTGCGAAAATTTGTGGTACAGGGGAGATTCATAACTACTGTCCTCGTTGACCATGGCGTTTAAACGTGAGGAAATGACGGCGGGTCAACTACAACGAAGAGAGGAGAGAGTCCGGTGTTGGTCGAGTCATCCGACTGGCCATTTCAGGAGAGGTGTTGTCATTCTACTCAGGACACTAGAAACAACGTTCAGAAATCCCATTATTGGCTGCTCCCTCCACTTCCCCTAGGCGGTGTCAATAGTTTATTTCGAAATAGTAGTGGAGTGTGCTCGAAACAATTTTTTCGTGGCCATTTTTTAGGAGCTTGAGTTTTTCAAGTGAGAGTGCTCTTAGGTGAAATGGATCGGCTTGTGGATGCACTTCTATCGATACGTGAAGAAATCGCAATGATAGAGAGAGGAGAACTGGACAGAGAAAAGAATCCGCTGAAGGTAATACTTAGTACAATATTTCCAAAATTCGGAAATTTTTTTGGCTGTTCGGGTCAGCTTCTGTCTGGGAATGACAGTGTGAGATGCTTTTATTCGATAACAGTACCCATGACACACTAATCCTTGGATTCAGTTGTGATTTAGCTGATTCGAACTCTCGGATGCGCCTGAGTGTAGTCTTTCCACAACTAAGTGTAGTCCTTCCCTTTCCATGCCCCTACGTGCGAT